CCCTGCCACAACCGCCCTGCATTAACTTGATCTTAGTGGGACGGCGGAGCGTGGCTGTGGCTCGGCCTTTTCTCCCTGCAAAGCCTCTGCTTCCCCACGCCCTGACGAGCTCCCGTGCTGTGCGTCCGCATCCCTGCAGGGTTTGGCCACGTTGCTTTGGGGCACGGGTGGTGACGGCAGCGCGACCTGGCTCTAACCGCAGCTCTCCTCCTCTGTCTCAGGTTCCGACTTTGAAGGGAAACGCCAAATGAAAGTGAGCAACAAGCACCGCGTCTTCCTGCCCCCGGAGCTCCTGCTCTCGGCCTACCTGGAGCAGATGAGCTGATACGCTGCGGACCCCCGCCCCTCCTGCTCCGACCCCGCTCCCTGCTGCCTGCCCGCCTGCCCCCCTTGTGCGGCGGCCTGGCCGGTGGGCGGCTTTGTGTGGAGCGGGGTTCAATCCACAACGTGTGCCCTGCTTCAAGGCATGAAATCTCTTCCCTTCCCCGTCCCTGGAGCTCTGCAGGGATCTCCCAAAACTCCTGTCTCTCCTCCGGGAGGCACAAACTTACCACAGGGTCTCTAGCTGGCTCTTTCCTCCCTTCCGGGACAGAGCCTGCTTGGTCTGTATTAAGGAAGGCACCAGCTCCTTTCTTTGCAAAAGCCCTGGCATCTCTGTCCCCGTGGCGGGGCCACCTCCCAGCTGTGTGCAGGTACCAGCCCCTGTTGGCTGCAACCTCTCTGGATGTCCAGGCTGGGGGGGGAGCAGGGAGAGGCGCTGTTTTATGAGTCGGTCTCATTCACATTTTTGGGGCTCGTTTGGGCTATTAAAAGCCCGTCGGAGGCTGCAGCAGCCTTACTCTGGCTTAGCTTCCCACACAAGCTGCCCTAAATGCTTCAGGTATTTAAAGTGATCTCCATAGGATACAACCCCCCTGGGCTCTTCCCTGCGCTGGAGAGGCCAGATCTCTCCCGTAGGGTGGGTGAGCCTCAAAGGCGGGATGATTCCAACTTTAGATCCTTGCCCTTGTGATCGCAGGGGACTCCAGGGCCTTGACCTGCTGTGCAGACATCGCCGCGCACAGATGGCCAGCCCCTGCACCTGCTGCGGGTCCAGCTGGGTGGAAGCATTTCTATTTATAACCCAGCTGGCTCTAAAAATAGGTGCGACGACTCCAGCCCCCTGCTCGTGCCAGCGGAGCTGCCGCCGGGGAAATCTGCCCCGACGATCAAACAGCTCCTCTTGCCTCTCCGCCCCTGCGAGCTGCGCAGCTGCAGCTGGGCAGCTCGCGGCCCGATACCTAAGCCCATGCTTGAAGCTTTAAACATGGGCTTAAGTGCTGGGCTGCGTCTGGGGGGTGGTCCTCCTCCTCCGAGGAGGAGGATGTCTCTCCTACGTTTACATTTTGCAAATAGGTGGGGGGATGTCCCTGCATCAGTGATGCTGTCTGGGACGGGGGCAGCTGTGAGAGCCCTGTGATTAGTTTTTTGTGCCTCTCTTTTCCCTCTCCCAGGGCAAGCACTTCTAAAGCCAGAGCAGCCCTGTGGAAAGCCCCTGCCCCGGCACTTGCCTCCCCGTGCCCGTCCAGAGCCAAACACTTGCCTCTTCAGGGGTCTGGGTCTTGCCGTAGCCAAATGGCCCCGAGCGCACTGCCTTCCTCCAGCTAAAGGCTCATCTCCGGGGTTAGGTCCCAGGGGAAGGGGGTCTGTTTTAGCTCTCGTGCCAGCTCTGGGGGGACGGGCTGGGTGTTGGCACCAGCCTCGTCCCGTTGCTTCTCCCTGCAGCCTGGCACCGAAGCTGGGCTGCAGCAGCTGAAGCGTCAATGCAGAGAGCAGCGAGATTTAATGCCAAGGGCTGGCTTTCTCTGCAGGGCAGGGCTCTCATCCTTTTTAAATGTAATATAGCGTGTCCTTTTTTTATACATATTTGTGTGTGCGTGATTTAACTCGGGCCCCGGCTGCCCCGCCGCTCCCAAGGTGGCTGGAGCTCAACGTTGCAGCTCTGCCACCCTGGGCAGCTGGGCGCGCCGGGGCACGGAGGAGTGTTTCGTGCCGTGGCGCTGTGTGAAATGGGCTTGGTTTCCAGCGCTGTAGGGCCGCAGACTGTGCCGCCTGTGGTTTTTTTAATGCGTACGCTCTGTGGGGTTTTTGTGCGTGTGTCTGTGTATCAAGGGCTTCTCTTCGGTGTATATAGCAGCTGGTTTGAAAGGGACTCGCTGGGCTCGGGGTGCTGCTGCCTTGCACTTGTGTGTGTCGCTGCTCACGGCTGTACAAAAGCCTCGTGCATGCCCGTGCCGGGGGGGAGCTGGGGTGGGTCGAGGAGGGGGGTCGTGGTGCTTCTTGCGCTGGGTGATGGATGGGGTTTGCTGCCTTTGCTGGGATCGCTCCCGATTCACCCTGGGTGCGAGCAGGATTGGGGAGAGCAGGGCCGTGTCACGCTTCACCACCACGGCATCGAGCGCTGGGGGCAAGGAGGAGTTGCTCCCCCAGCAGTGGGGAGCGAATCGGGCCCTTTTATAGCATCTTCTGCCCCAGTCGAATCCTCCCGAAGGCCCAGCTCCCCCGTGGGTCCCCATCACTGGTGCCTCCTCCTTCCACCTCTGCCCTCTTGGCAAGCCAAAGTGATCTTCGTGGCCCCGCCAGCGTCCCGTGCAGCCGAGCGCACGCTGGGGCCTGCGGCGTGGCCCGTGGTTGTGTCGTTGCTTCGGGAGCGTGGCATCAAGATTTCCTTCCTCTTAAATGTGTTCGACGCCCCGAATCCAGCCCCAGCTCTCGCCGCTGCTCCTTTTGATGGTTGCTGGTGGGGGCTGGGCTGGGCTGGGGAAGGCGAGGACGCGTACAGAGGCGGGAGGCATCTGCACGAGAACAATAAACCATGGTGCTCCGGACTCCCTGTGTCCACGTCTCTGTTGGGGGGCGCAGCCGTCGGTGTCCGTCCCCGGGGGGCTTCCAGCAGGAGGCGGTGGGGTGCAACGCGGGAGCTTGGGAGCTGGTTGAGCGCAAATGTCTCCCGCGTGTTCGTCCGTCTGCGCTGCAGCTTGTGGGACGGAGGAGAGGGTTTCTACCCCTCGCAGCCCTTGGCCCCAGTTCTTGCCTCGTCCGTTAGCAAGTCTCCTGCCTCCCAAACTCTGGATGCTTCAGGTGGTCCCAGATCCAAGCCCCGCAGGCCTTGGAGGTCGGATGCCCCCTTGTCTTGTTTGCCACCAGCCAAAAGGCCAAGCTGGGAAGCCCAAAAGCAATCCCACCCCCGTCCCCATAAACTGCACAGCTGAGCTCCTTGCACTTGGAGGCAGTCGGAGACTCTCGCAGGGATCAGCAAGGGACAGGCCGCACCTGTACCTGCACCGCGGCCTTCGAAACCGAGAGGAAGGGGAAGTAAGAGCCACCGGGGCTGAAAGCATCTCCCCTGCTGGGTGCCGGGGGCTGCAGGAGGCTTCCTGCCCTGCAATTACTTTTCAATAAGAGGCTGCGCAAGTCAGGTGCACGTGGGCAGGAGACGGCTGCTCTCCAGCACGTCTTAAGGGGCACTTGGGACCGCAGTGAGCGTTTTGGTGCCTGACCGCCTCTCCTGCTCCAGCTTCAGCTTGTGCCAACTGGAAATCCTCACATGGAAGAGGCAGGACGTGGATGTGGGAGGGAAAAGGGGTTGGGGTGGGGGTGCCTAATGCCCCCAGGCCCAAGCTGACTTGGATGGGAGACCCCCAAGAAAACAGACGTGATGCAGGGGGCAGCGCCCTGGGCCTGCCAACTGCACCCACAAGCATGCCAGGTGCCTGCTGGGCTGAGACGGGCACAGTGGCACGTAACCTTCCTCCATGAGGACCTCCAGGGGAGAAGAAGTGAAGCCCCCCCATGTTCTCTACCTGCTTTCCCATGGGTGGTACCGCTCCCGGCCTTGCAAAAGCATGCACAGGAGCCCCTGCCCCGTGCCCCTTCCTGGCAGCAGGGGCAGGGGCTGGGTGGACCTGCGCTCCCAGGGGCGCCGTGGGAAGCCCAGCGCAGTTTGCTAGGCTGTGCACTGGGCAGCGCTACTGGGGTTTACTGGGAGGGGGCGTTTCCTTCCAGCCCACATGGCAAAGGGGCTCAGGCGGGGGGTCCCGCTGCAGCTGCAAGGGAGAGCAAAACTATGGGCCCAAGGGAATGCAAATGGTGGACCATTGGGAGAGCAAACTATGGACCTGAGAGGAGCAAAATATGGAACGCTTCACGAATTTGCGTGTCATCCTTGCGCAGGGGCCATGCTAATCTTCTCTGTATCGTTCCAATTTTAGTATATGTGCTGCCGAAGCGAGCACAAACGTATCTTCCCCCAGATTGGTATTTATACCTCATAGATATTCATACTTTTAAGCTTAGGTTGATTAACTATAGCACGTTATGGAGTATAACTAGATGAATGATTTATGGAAAATACTGTATGATGCAGATACTTTTTTAATTACTAAGTTATTTGTGGTAACATTCTAGGAAACCTCCGCTTTCCCATCGCCTGCGACGCGAGGGATTCTGGGAGAGGGAGCTTGTATGCAAATCAACACCCGGCCCGGAGCGCAGCCTGACGTGGAAAGACCCCAGCTTGGGGGTGTCCACAACGGTGCCTGCGTGCGCGGCTCCGAAACCGCCTGCGGCTTGAGCCGAACCGCCCTCCCGCTGGGGAGCCTCCCTCTTCCCCCCTCGCCGAGGGCTCCGTCTCGGCCCTCAGTTGCACGTTTGGT